CTTGTGCAGGGTGGCACCTTGTCAGAGACCCCCGAGGGGACACGGGGACACGGGGACATGGGGACATGGCGACATGGGGACACGGACACGGGGACACTCTGGGGATTCCCGGAGTGTCTCGATGGCACCTGGGGACTCTCGGATGGCACCTGGGGACACCGAACTGTCCCCTCGGTGCTGCGGTGTCCCCCCATCCCAACACGGGGCTGCGTCCCTGGGATGATCCCCTCAAAACCCCTCAAAATCCCACAAAATCACTCAAAATCCCTCAAAATCCCACAACGCCTGTGGGGCCACCAAAGTGCGGAAAACCCACACGGAAAATCCCCCAAGCCCAGCCCGGCCGAGGGAGGAAAGTTCCAGATGTTCCCGATGTTCCCGATGTTCCCGGTACCGAGGGCGAGGAGCGGAACGAGGATCCCCCGATCTGTTTTTATCCCGTTCCTCAGTTTCCCCGCGGGTCCCGTCCCGCCGGGATGGGCTCCGGACGGCTCCGACCCCTCTCGAGCTGCTCAAACGGGCATTTGGGGGATTTTGGGGATGGGGGATGCTTCGGGGGAATCCCAAAAATCTCGGAAATGGGGATTTTGGGGCTATGGGATGCTCGTGGAGAACCCCAAAAATCTCGGAAATGGGATATTTGGGACTGGGGCATGCTCGTGGTGAATCCCAAAAATCTCGGTGTGGGATTTTGGGGTTGGGGGATGCTTCGGGTCAACCCCAAGAATTTCGGAAGGGATTTTGGGGAAGGGGGATGCTCGTGGTGAATGCCAGGAATCTGGGAAATGGGGATTTTAGGGATTTTGGGGGTGCGGGATGCTCCTGGTAAACCCCAGTAACCTTTGTGTGAGATTTTGGGAATGCGAAATGCTCGTGGTGAACCCCAGGAATCTGGGAAATGGGGATTTTGGGGCTGGGGGATGCTCCGGGTGAATCCCAAAAATCTCGGAAATGGGGATTTTGGGGATTTTGGGGAGGGGGGATGCTCCGGGTGAATCCCAAAAATCTCGGAAGGGGATGTTGGGACTGGGGGATGCTCCTGGTGAACCCCAGGAATCTCGGAAATGGGGTTTTGGGGCTGGGGGATGCTCCAGGTACCCAGACCCCTCCTCACCCSCTCGTGCTTTCCCACCCTTCTGCTAAATTATTCCCCTAATTAACAAAAATACCCCAAAACATCACCCCAAAGCAGGGCAGCCGCGCCATCTGCTGCAGGGCCCGTGTCCCCAAGGGGATTTGGGGACAAACTTTACCCCCGGGGGGGACCCTGGGGATTCAATTCCCTGCTGGGGGGAGGGGGCGCAGCTCAGGGATGGAAGAAGCGACCCCTCCCCATCTCACCCCACCCACATCGGGCTCTGATTTTGGGGTGGGGTCCCAATTCCCGAACGATTTGGGGCACGGGTCCCAATCCCCGGGGGCTGCCGGAGCGGAGTTGGGGCTCGGAGGGGTCCCCGCTGCCAACACAAACACATCGACTCCACTCTTATTAAATTTAAAAAAAAATAAAATAAATAAATCACCGCCGCGCTCGGAGCCAAAGCCGAGACTCCGTGGCGGGGCTGGAAGGTGCCGAGCCCCTCGAAAAACACCGGGAACGCTYCGGGACACGCGGGGACAGCGATTCCGGCGGTCACCGGGCCACCCGAGATCCTCCCGGGGACGCGGAACCCACCGAACCTCGGGATTTTTTTTTTTTTTTTTTTTTTCCCCGTCTGATGAAAGCGGCGAGGATTAAAGGGGGGCAAAAAAGCAGCGAGAGAACCGGGAGCGCGTGTGCCAGGTAACCAACCCCAAAAGATCCCCCGAGATAAAGGGAGATCCCAAGAAGCTGTAATTAGGGCTGCAGATAGAGCGGCTCGGGGAAAGCCTGGAGCCAGCAGCAGCAATTCTGGCTCCACGGCAGCCCGAGGAGAAGTTAATAACAAGCCGAGCGCAGTGCGAGCAGACAGCCTGGCGTCTGCCCTCCCACACCGCGCTATCTGCAGCCGCCGACGGTCCCGGGGCAGCGCGGGGAGACGCCGCGGCACGGCCCGGGCTCCCCCCCGGGGCATCCCCCATGGCTTTTGGGGCGTCTCGGGATAGGAGGGGGAACGGGGGGGTGAGGGAAAGGTGGGGAGGGGTCTGGGCAGAGAGCCAGAGAGGAGGGGCGGTGTGCGGGATAAGGCGGGGTTGTGCTCGGGACACCCGGGATTGTGCCCGGGGATTGTGGCCGGGAACCGGGGATTGTCCCGCGAACTCCCGGGGATTGTCCCCTGGACA